GAGTTCTGGAGTTCAAGACCAGCCTGGCCCATATGGTGAAATCCTGTCTCTACTAAAAAATACAAAAAATTAGCCTGGTGTGGTGGCACACGCCTGTAGTCCCAGCTACTCAGAAGGCTGAGGCAGGAGAATTGCTTGAACCCTGGAGGCAGAGGTTGCAGCTACCTGAGATCATGCTACTGCACTCTAGCCTGGGTGACAGAGTGAGATTTTTTCCTGAAAAAAAAGAAAGAAAAGAAAAGAAAGGAAAAGAAAAATTAGGGTTGAGATAAAAATTTAAGTACATAAGCATCAAAAGTAAAATTTCTGAGGAAAAAGATACCTGGCATTTTATCCACATGGTTATACTGACTCACAATGTCCAAATAACAATTTAACAGTATAAGGTTGACCTAATACACGACACCAATGGGATATTTTATTATAGCTTTTTTTTGTTTTTGAAATGGAGTCTCACTCTGTCGCCCAGGCTGGAGTGCAATGACGCAATCTTGACTCACTGCAAGCTCTGCCTCCTGGGTTCACGCCATTCTCCTGCCTCAGCCTCCTGAGTAGCTGGGCACCCGCCACCACGCCCAGCTAATTTTTTGTATTTTTAGTAGAGACGGGGTTTCACCCTGTCAGCCAGGATGGTCTCGATCTCCTGACCTCGTGATCCACCCCCCTCGGCCTCGCAAAGTGCTAGGATTACAGGCGTGAGCTGCAGTGCCCAGCCTTACTATTATAGCTTAATTATTTAAAAATAACATTTGTTAGTATACAGCTATTATAAACAGTTAATTGTTTACATTCACTATCTGTATTCAAAGAATCTTGTCAGGTCTGAATGCTTTCTCACACTGCTTACATTCATTGGGTTTCTCTTGAGTGTGAGTCCTTCCATGCATTTAAAGGTGTGAGGCTGATCTGAAGGCTTTCCACATTGCTTACATTCACAGGGCTTCTCTCCAGTGTGAGTCCTTTCATGATATTGAAGGGAACTAGAAGAAATGAAGGCTTTTCTACACTGCATACACTCATAGGGTTTCTCTCCCATGTGAGTCCTTTCATGATATTGAAAAGAAGTGGAAGAAATAAAGGCTTTCGCACATTGCTTACATTGATAGGGTTTTCTCCCTAGAGTGAGTTCGTGATATTGAAAAGAACTGGAAGTGAAAGCTTTGCCACATTGCTTGCCTTCATAGGATTTCCTTCCAGTGTGAGTCTTTTCACATCTATGAAAGGAAACAGGCAAGCTGAATGCTTTCCTGTATTCTTTACATTCATAGGGTTTCTCTCCAGTGTGTGTTCTTGCATGTATTCAAAGCATCTTGGCAGATGTGAATGCTTTCCCACAATGCTTACATTCATAGGGCTTCTCTCCTCTGTGCATCCTTTCATGTATTTGCAAAGAAGAGAAATTATGGAACACTTTTCCACATTCCTTACATTCATAGGGTTTCTCTCCAGTGTGTCCTTTTATGAATTCAAAGATTTTTGACAGACCTGAAGCCTTTCTCAGATTGCTAATATTCGTAGGGTTTCTATCCAGTGTGAGTCCTACAATGATTTCGAAGGTGTGAGGTAAATCTGAAGGCTTTCCCACATTGCTTACACTCATAGGGGTTCTCTCCAGTGTGAGTCCTTTCATGATATCAAAAGGAAGTGAAAGAAACAAAGGCTTTACCACATTTCTTACACTCATAGCGTTTCTCTCCAGTGTAAGATTTTTCATGTATTTGAAATGACTTGGCAGAATAAAAGCCTTTCCTGCGTATCTTACATTTATAAGGTGTTTCTACAGAGTGCATTTTTTTTTTATACATTATGTTCTAGGGTACATGTGCACAACCTGCAGGTTTGTTCCATATGTATACATGTGACATGTTGGTGTGCTGCACCCATTAACTCATCATTTACATTAGGTATATCTCGTAATGCTATCCCTCCCCCTTCCCCCACCCCACGACAGGCCCCATTGTGTGATGTTCCCCACCCTGTGTCCGAGTGTACTCATTGTTCAATTCCCACCTATGAGTGAGAACATGCGGTGTTTGGTTTTTGGTCCTTGTGATAGTTTGCTCAGAATGATGGTTTCCAGCTTCATCCATGTCCCTACAAAGGACATGAACTCATCCTTTTTTATGGCTGCATAGTATTCCATAGTGTATATGTACCACATTTTCTTTATTCAGTCTATCATTGATGGACATTTGGGTAGGTTCCAAGTCTTTGCTATTGTGAACAGTGCCACAATAAACATACATGTGCATGTGTCTTTATAGCAGTATGATTTATAATCCTTTGGGTATATACCCAGTACAAGGATGGCTGGGTCAAATGGTATTTCTAGTTCTAGATCCTTGAGGAATTGCCACACTGTCTTCCACAATGGTTGAACTAGTTTACAGTCCCACCAACAGTGTAAAAGTGTTCCTATTTCTCCACATCCTCTCCAGCACCTCTTGTTTACTGACTTTTTAATGATCGCCTTTCTAACTGGTGTGAGACGGTATCTCATTGTGGTTTTGATTTGCATTTCTCTGATGGCCAGTGATGATGAGCATTTTTTCATGTGTCTGTTGGCTGCATAAATGTTTTCTTTTGAGAAGTGTCTGTTCATATCTTTTGCCCACTTTTTGATGGGGTTGATTTTTTCTTTTTTTTTTTTTTTTTTTTTTGAGACTGAGTCTGGCTCTGTCACCCAGGCTGGAGTGCAGTGGCCAGATCTCAGCTCACTGCAAGCTCCGCCTCCCGGGTTTACGCCATTCTCCTGCCTCAGCCTCCGGAGTAGCTGGGACCACAGGCGCCCGCCACCTCGCCCGGCTAGTTTTTTGTATTTTTTAGTAGAGACGGGGTTTCACCGTGTTAGCCAGGATGGTCTCGATCTCCTGACCTTGTGATCCGCCCGTCTCAGCCTCCCAAAGTGCTGGGATTACAGGCTTGAGCCACCGTGCCCGGCTGGGGTTGATTTTTTCTTGTAGATTTAAGTTCTTTGTAGATTCTGGATATTAGCCCTTTGTTAGATGGGTAGATTGTGAAAATTTTCCCCCATTCTGTAGGTTGCCTGTTCACTCTGATGGTAGTTTCTTTTGCTGTGCAGAAGCTCTCTAGTTTAATTAGATCCCACTTGTCAATTTTGGCTTTTGTTGCCATTGCTTTTGGTGTTTTAGTCATGAAATCCTTGCCCATGCCTATGTCCTGAATGGTATTGCCTAGGTTTTCTTCTAGGGTTTTTAGGGTTTTAGGTCTAACATTTAAGTCTTTAATCTATCTGGAATTAATTTTTGTATAAGGTGTAAGGAAGGGATCCAGTTTCAGCTTTCTACAGATGGCTAGCCAGTTTTCCCAGCCCCATTTATGAAATAGGGAATCCTTTCCCCATTCCTTGTTTTTGTCAGGTTTGTCAAAGATCAGATGGTTGTAGATGTGTGGTATTATTTCTGAGGGCTCTGTTCTGTTCCATTGGTCTATATCTCTGTTTTGGTACCAGTACCATGCTGTTTTGGTTACTGTAGACTTGCAGTATAGTTTGAAGTCAGGTAGCCTGATGCCTCCAGCTTTGTTCTTTTGGTTATGGTCTTGGCAATGCAGGCTCTTTTTGGCTCCCTATGAATTTTAAAGTAGTTTTTTCCAATTCTGTGAAGAAAGTCATCAGTAGCTTGATGGGGATGGCACTGAATCTATAAATTACCTTGGGCAGTATGGCCATTTTCACAATACTGATTCTTCCTATCCATGAGCATGGAATGTTCTTCCATTTGTTTGTGTCCTCTTTGATTTCATTGAGCAGTGGTTTGTAGTTCTCCTTGAAGAGTTCCTTCACATCCCTTGTAAGTTTGATTCCTAGGTATTTTATTCTCTTTGAAGCAATTGTGAATGGGAGTTCACTCATGATTTGGCTCTCTGTTTGTCTGTTATTGGTGTATAGGAATGCTTGTGATTTTTGCACATTGATTTTGTATCCTGAGACTTTGCTGAAGTTGCTTATCAGTTTAAGCAGATTTTGGGCTGAGACGATGGGGTTTTCTAAATATAAAATCATGTCATCTACAAACCAGAACAATTTGACTTTCTCTTTTCCTACTTGAACACCCTTCATTTACTTCTCCTGCCTGATTGCCCTGGCCAGAATTTCCAACACTGTGTTGAATAGGAGTGGTGAGACAGGGCATCCCTGTCTTGTGCCAGTTTTCAAAGGGAATGCTTCCAGTTTTTGCCCATTCAGTTTCATATTGGCTGTGGGTCTGTCATAAATAGATCTTATTATTTTGAGATACATCACATCAATACCTAGTTTGTTGAGAGTTTTTAGCATAAAGGGCTGTTGAATTTTGTTGAAGGCCTTTTCTGCATCTATTGAGATAATCACGTGGTTTTTGTCTTTGGTTCTGTTTAAATGATGGATTATGTATAGTGATTTGCATATGTTGAACCAGCCTTGCATCCCAGGGATGAAATCAACTTGACTGTGGTGGAAAGCTTTTTGATGTGCTGCTGGAGTCAGTTTGCCAGTATTTTATTGAGGATTTTTGCATTGATGTTCATCAGGGATATTGGTCTAAAATTCTCTTTTTTTTGTTGTGTCTCTGCCAGGTTTTGGTATCAGGATAATGCTGGCTTCATAAAATGAGTTAGGGAGGATTCCCTCTTTTTCTATTGATTGGAATAGTTTCAGAAGGAATGGTACCAGCTCCTCTTTGTACCTCTGGTAGAATTCAGCTGTGAATCCATCTGGTCCTGGACTTTTTTTGGTTGGTAGGCTATTAATTATTGCCTCAATTTCAGACCCTGTTATTAGTCTATTCAGGGATTCAACTTCCTCCTGGTTTAGTCTTGGGAGGGTGTATGTGTCCTGGAATTTATCCATTTCTTCTAGATTTTCTAGTTTATTTGCACAGAGGTATTTATAGTATTCTCTGATGGTAGTTTGTATTTCTAGGGGATTGGTGGCGATATCCCTTTTATCATTTTTAATTGCGTCTATTTGATTCTCCTCTCTTTTCTTATTTATTAGTCTTGCTAGCAGTCTATCAATTTTGTTGATCTTTTCAAAACACCACCTCCTGGATTCACTGATTTTTTGAAGGGTTTTTTGTGTCTCTATGTCCTTCAGTTCTGCTCTGATCTTAGTTATTTCTTGCCTTCTCCTAGCTTTTGAATGTGTTGGCTCTTGCTTCTCCAGTTTTTTAATTGTGATGTTAGGATGTCAATTTTAGATCTTTCCTGCTTTCTCTTGTGGGCATTTAGTGCTATAAATTTCCCTCTACACACTGCTTTAAATGTGTCCCAGAGATTCTGGTATGTTGTATCTTTGTTCTCATTGGTTTCAAAGAACATCTTTATTTCTGCCTTCATTTTGTTATGTACCCAGTAGTCATTCAGGAGCAGGTTGTTCAGTTTCCATGTAGTTGAGTGGTTTAGAGTGAGTTTCTTAATCCTGAGTTCTAGTTTGATTGCTCTGTGGTCTGAGAGACAGTTTGTTATAATTTCTGTTCTTTTGCATTTGCTGAGGAGTGCTTTACTTCCAACTATGTGGTCAATTTTGGAATAAGTGTGATGTGGGTGCTGAGAAGAATGTATATTCTGTTGATTTGGGGTTGAGAGTTCTGTTGATGTCTATTAGGTCTGCTTAGTGCAGAGCTGAGTTCAATTCCTGGATATCCTTGTTAACTTTCTGTCTCGTTGATCTGTCTAATGTTGACAGTGGGGTGTTAAAATCTCCCATTATTATTGTGTGGGAGTCTAAGTCTCTTTGTAGGTCTCTAAGGACTTGCTTTATGAATCTGGGTGCTCCTGTATTTGGTGCATAAATATTTAGGATAGTTAGCTCTTCTTGTTGAACTGATCCCTTTACCATTATGTAATGACCTTGTCTCTTTTGATCCTTGTTGGTTTAAAGTCTGTTTTATCAGAGACTAGGATCGCAACCCCTGCTTTTGCATTGTTGCTGTTGTTTTCCATTTGCTTGGTAGATATTCCTCCATCCCTTTATTTTGAGCCTATGTATATCTCTGCACGTGAGATGGGTCTCCTGAATGCAGCACACTGATGGATCTTGATTCTTTATCTAATTTGCATGTCTATGTGTTTTAATTGGAGCATTTAGCCCATTTACATTGAAGGCTAATATTGTTATGTGTGAATTTGATCCTGTCATTATGATGTTAGCTGGTTATTTTGGTTGTTAGTTGATGCAGTTTCTTCCTAGCATTGATGGCCTTTATGATTTGGCATGTTTTTGCAGTGGCTGGTACCAGTTGTTCCTTTCCATGTTTAGTGCTTCCTTCAGGACCTCTTGTAAGGCAGGCCTGGTGGTGACAAAATCTCTCAGTATTTGCTTGTCTGTAAAGGATTTTATTTCTCCTTCACTTATGAAGCTTAGTTTGGCTGGATATGAAATTCTGGGTTGAAAATTCTTTGCTTTAAGAATGTTGAATATTGGCCCCCACTCTCTTCTGGCTTGCAGAGTTTCTGCCAAGAGATCCGCTGTTAGTCTGATGGGCTTCCCTTTGTGGGTAACCCGACCTTTCTCTCTGGCTGCCCTCAACATTTTTTCCTCCATTTCAACTTTGGTGAATCTGACAATTACGTGTCTTGGAGTTGCTCTTCTTGAGAAGTATCTTTGTGGCATTCTCTGTATTTCCTGAATTTGAATGTTGACCTGCCTTGCTAGGTTGGGGAAGTTCTCCTGGATAATATCCTGAAGAGTGTTTTCCAACTTGGTTCCATCCCCATCACTTTCAGGTACACCAATCAGATGTAGATTTGGTCTTTTAACATAGTCCCATATTTCTTGGAGGCTTTGTTCTTTTTACTTTTTTTCTCTAAACTTCTCTTCTCGCTTCATTTCATTCATTTGATCTTCACTGATACCCTTTCTTCCACTTGATCGAATTGGCTACTGAAGCTTGTGCATGTATCATGTAGTTCTCGTGCCATGGTTTTCAGCTCCATCAGGTCATTTAAAGTCCTCTCTATGCTGTTTATTCTAGTTAGCCATTCGTCTAATCTTTTTTCAAGATTTTTAGCTTCTTTGCAATGGGTTCGAACATCCTCCTTTAGCTTGGAGAAGTTTGTTATTACCGATCGTCTGAAGCCTTCTTCTCTCAACTCGTCAAAGTTATTCTCCATCCAGCTTTGTTCCATTGCTGGTGAGGAGCTGCGTTCCTTTGGAGAAGAAGAGGTGCTCTGATGTTTAGAATTTTCAGCTTTTCTACTCTGGTTTCTCCCCATCTTTGTGGTTTTATCTACCTTTGGTCTTTGACAATGGTGATGTACAGATGGGTTTTGGTGTGGATGTCCTTTCTGTTAGTTTTCCTTTTAACAGTCAGGACCCTCAGCTGAGGTCTGTTGGAGTTTGCTGGAGGTCCACTCCAGACCCTGTTTGCCTGGGTATCACCAGCAGAGGTTGCAGAACAGCAAATATTGCAGAACAGTGAATGTTGCTCCCTGATCCTTCCTCTGGAAGCTTTGTCACAAAGGGGCACCCAGCCGTATGAGGTGTCAGTCGGCCCCTACTGGGAGGTGCTTCCCAGTTAGGCTACTCAGGGCTCTGGGACCCACTGGAGGAAGCAGACTGTCTGTTCTCAGATCTCAAAATCTGCTGGGAGGACCGCTACTCTCTTCAAAGCTGTCAGACAGGGATGTTTAAGTCTGCGGAAGTTTCTGCTGCCTTTTGTTCAGCTATCCAGTGTGCATTCTTATGTATGCTTGTGTCCTTTCAGGAATTCGAAGGTTCTTGGCAGATCTGAAGGGTATCCCACATTCATAGGGTTTCTCTCCATTGTGTCTCCTACCACACACTCAAAAGTGTGAGGCAGATCTGAAGGCTTTCCCTCATTGGTTACACTCATAGGATTTATCTTCAGGATGAGTCCTACCATGCATTCGAAGGACTGAGGCAGCTCTGAAGGCTTTCCCACATTGCTTGCATTGGTAGGGTTTCTCTCCAGTGTGAGTCCTTTCATGATATCGAAAGGAACTAGAACTACTGAAGGCTTCACCACATTGCTTGCATTCATAGAGTTTCTCTCCAGTGTGAGTTTTTTCATGTCTTTGAAATGATTTGGGACAATAAAAGCCTTTCCCACATATCTTACATTTATAAGGTCTTTCTCCAGAGTGTATTCTTATGTGTGTTTGTGTCCTTTCATGACTTTGAAGGTTCTTCATAGATCTGAAGGCTTTCCCACATTCCTTACATTCATAGGGTTTCTCTCCAGTGTGAGTCCTACCATGCAATCGAAGGTGTGAAGCAGATCTGAAGGATTTCCCACATTGCTTACATTCATAGGGTTTCTCTCCAGTGTGAGTCCTTTCATGATATCGAAGGGAACTGGAATGAATGAAGGCTTTACCGCATTGCCTGCATTTATAGGGTTTCTCTCCACTGTGAGTTTTTTCATGTCTTTGAAATGAATTTGCAGAACAAAAGCCTTTCCCACATATCTTACATTCATAAGGTCTTTCTCCAGAGTGTATTCTTATGTGTGTTTGAAAACTTGTAAGAGAGGATAATGCTTTCCCACACTGCTTACATTCATAGGGTTTTTTCCCAGAGTGGGTCCTTTCATGTCTACGAACATAATGGGGACACGTGAATGCTTTCCCACATTCCTTACATTGATAAGACTTCTCTCCCATGTGAATCATTTCATGTCTACGACAGCATCTGGGACTATGAAATGCTTTCCCACATTCCTGACATTCATAAGGCTTTTCTCCAGTGTGAGTTCTTTTATGTATTTGAAGGGCAGCAGAATAACTGAAGGATTTACCACATTGTTTACATTCATATGGTTTCTCTCCAGTGTGAGTTCTTTCATGGATAAGATATAAACTGAGACAATGGAAGGCTTTCCCACAAAATTTACATTTATAAGGTCCATCTCCACTGTGCATTATCATGTGTCTTTGAATGCTTGAATGGGAAATAAAGGTTTTTCCACATTCTTTACAAGCATAGGGTTTCTCTTCAGTGTGATCCCTTTCTTGTGCTCTAAAGGAGGGGTGATATCTGAAGGCTTTTTTAAGTTGTTGACACTTACATGGCTTCGGTCCATATTCCTGATACTCATATGCCTTGTGTCCAATGTCACCTCTGATGTTCATATTAAAAGATGAGTTACCTATGCCAACTTCTCCACACACAAAGCTGTCACATGATTTTACTTCAGGAGAAGTTTGCTTCTCCTGGAAGTTCAGCCTGTCATCTGGAACCTGGATAACAGTTTCTCCACAATGACTATCTTCTTTAATTTCATTGACTTTCTCTTCTATGAGACTCCTGTAAAACATGAGAAGCACATTATGAAGGGTTTGTTTATAAGTAATTTTATATTCATCATCAAGTATTGCACTTGCATTTTTAACACTGTCCATCAAAGTGTAGGCTTTTGGCCCTGGTTGAATTGTTTGAAGGTGACTGGACAACGTGTTCTACAAGGTGTCCCAGCCATAACTATTATTTTTAAAAATGTTTATATGGGGCTTCTTAATACTCTTCCCAAGTAAACTATTTTACAAATACTAAATACTCTGTGTCATTTTTCTTTTGTTTCAGGATCTAGTCCTGTTATCCACGCTGGAGTGCAGTGAAACCATCATAGCTTACGGCAGGCTTTACTGGCTCAGGTGATCCTCCTGCCTCAGTCTCCTGAGTAGCTGGGACACAGATGCATACCACAATGCCCGGCTAATTTTTTGCTGTTGTTGATATATGGTCTCGTTATGTTGCCCAGGCTGTTTTTGAACTGCTGGCCTCAAGCTATCCTCCTATCTCTACCTCTCAAAGGATTGGGATTACAGGAGTGAGCCCACAGCCTATGTCACATTTACATTTTTTTTTTTTTTTTGGTCAAATATTCTAAAAATAAATGAACTTGATCCTGGACTTAGTTCTTTGTTTTACTTATTTTTAATATATTGTCATATTCTAAGATTGTCTAGAGAGACACTGTTTTGTCTTGTAAGTACAAATTACCTGAAGTTTCTCCTGGGGTTTTGGTACTCATATTCAATGTTCTGGTCTTTCCAACTTTTTCCTAAAATACAGACACACAAAAATAGTCCCAAGGCATTATAAAATTGTGAAAAAATTATTAGATTCTATGCCCATGATTTACTGCAGCCACACCTCATTTATTCATCAAAGTATTTCCTGTCTATGTTCTAAATCACTCAACAGCATTGATGAGCTAGAAACACTGGTTCACTAATTGACTGAGGGAAGGAATATTGTCATTCTTACCTATAGAGGTCAGGTTCCTGAAAGTTTCCAGCATCACTTCCCTGTAGAGATTCTTCTGAAAAATATCCAGCAAAGCCCACTCCTCCCGGGTGAAGTTCACAGCCACATCCTCAAAGGCCACCGGGTCCTGAAACATCTCACATGTGTAGAGGAGGATGGGTGAGAGTGACAGCACTGGGGGCCTAGACTCTATTCCCAAGATGTTCTCAGGATGCCGTGGACTCCAAACACTTATTCCCCGCTTTGCTCATCATCTCCCTGTATATACAGGGAGAAACTTTCTTCCATAATGCAATTTTTGTTTGTTTGTTTGTTTTTGAGACGGAGTCTCGCTCTGTCACCCAGGCTGGTGTGCAGTGGCCCGATCTTGGCTCACTGCAAGCTCTGCCTCCCCAGTTCAAGTCATTCTCCTGCCTCAGCCTCCCATGTAGCTGGGACTACAGGTGACTGCCACCACGCCTGGCTAACTTTTTTGTATTTTTAGTAGAGGCGGGGTTTCACTGTGTTAGCCAGGATGGTCTCGATCTCCTAACCTCGTGATCTGCCCACCTTGACCTCCCAAAGTGCTGGGATTACAGGCGTGAGCCACGTACCTGACTTTTTTTTTTTCTTTGAGACAGATTTTCACTCTTGTCACCCAGGCTGCACCGCTGGGGTCTAGCACTTCTACTTCCTCAGCCTCCTGAGTAGCTAAGATTACAGGCATGTGCCACCATACCCAGCTAAGTTTGTATTTTTACTAGAGACAGATTTTCTCCATGTTGGTCAGGCTGCCGACCACAGGTGATCTGCCTGCCTCAGCCTCCCAAAGTGCTGGGATTACAGGCATGAACTACCATGCCCTGCCAGCAGTTGTTTGTTTTTGGTTTTTTTAAAGACAGTATCGTGCACTGTTACCCAGACTGGAGTGTAGTGGCACCATCTTGGCTCACTACAACGTCTTACTCCTGGGTTCATGTGATTGTCAGGCCTCAGCCTCCTGAGTAGTTGAGACCACAGGCATATGCCACAACACCTGGCTAGTTCATAAAGCAACTGTGATGCTAGAACTGAACAAGGGGTAAAGTCAAAGTCACAGCAGGATAGGAAAATGTGTGTATTCACTGAACCCAGGGAGAAAAGTGAACTGCCTGGGCTGTCCCTAATGTCTCTTTGGACTGTGGGTCTGCAGCACCTGTCATAATAGACACCTATGAATTCATAAGCAGAACAAAGTTAACATTAGCAGACCTGAGGCTGTGCATCCTTGAAAATGCCTGTTCCCAAAGTGTAATCTTTGTTGATATTGTCAGATGAAGCAGATAGCTAGCAAAGAGCATGAGGGGGAGCCCCTGGGAAATCCCACACCCCCAGGGACTACCCAAAACAGGTATGCTAGATATAATCGAGAGTAGGGGAATCACCTGGATAGAAAGAAACTTCCATTATGATGTCCAGGAATCATTCACTTTGCAGTTATCCTGTCAGAATGTAGCTAGATGCTGACAGGGCAAAGGGGACATTCCTAAAAAAAACCTGGCACTGTATGTACACAAGAGGGCAAACAAGAAACTCCTAAGAGATACCCAGGTGTAATAAGCACAGATTTAACCACTATACAACCTTCCTGAGGTGGCAGTAATGAGCAATGCAGCCAATAACCTATCCATTGACGGCTGAATGGAAAAACAAAATGTAGTAAGCATATACATAAAATGCGATATTATTTACTATTAGAAAATGACATCTCAGCCGGGCATGGTGGCTCATGCCTGTAATCCCAGCACTTTTGAAGGCCGAGGCGGGCGGATCACCTGAAGGTCTGAGGTTACGATCTGCCTGACCAGCATGGAGAAACCCCATCTCTACGAAAAATACAAAATTACCCAGGCGTGTTGGCATGTGCCTGTAATCCCAGCTACTCGGGAGGCTGAGGCAGGAGAATTGCTTGAACCCAGGAGGCAGGTGAGCCAACATTGCGCCACTGCACTCCAGCCTGGGCAACAAGAGTGAAACTCCGACTCAAAAACAAAAAATAAAAGAAAATGAAATCTTGGCCCATACTACAACATGCATGAAACCTCGGGATAATTGAAAAAAGCAAAATACAATAGAATTCATCTTAGAGAACTTAAGTAGATTTGTCAAACCATTGCAACTGTACATGTAAAATTTCTTCAGCTGATAAGTTTTACATTCTTTTAAGATAAGTAATGATAATAAATCATGGTAGCAGCCAGGCATGGTGGCTCATGCCTGTAATCCCAGCACTTTGGAAGATTGAGGTGGGTGGATCACTTGAGGCCAGCAGTTTGAGACTAGCCTGACCAACGTGGTGGAACCCCATCTCTAAAAAATACAAAAATTAGCCAGGGGTGGCGGCATGTGTCTATAGTCCCAGTTCCTTGAGAGGCCGATGTGGGAGAATCATTTGAACCTAGGAAGCGGAGGTTGCAGTGAGCTGAGATCACACCACTGCACTCCAGCCGGGGCGACACAGTGAGACTCTTTCTTAAAACCAACAAACAAAACACCATAAGAATGTCCTAATAGAGGCAGAAAAGGCATCTGACAAGCCTTAACCAATTTATGCCTAGTGTTCCATTTTTGGAACGCTAAGGATGTGGTAGTTATTTATTTCCTACTGCTCAAGGTCATGGCCAAAGTCTGATTTTTCACACGTCTGCAATTCAAAAAAGTGCAACCTCCAGCATAAATAGGTTAATATCTCCTCATGATTAAAAATGCTCAATAAGGCCGGGCACGGTGGCTCAAGCCTGTAATCCCAGCACTTTGGGAGGCCGAGACGGGCGGATCATGAGGTCAGGAGATCAAGACCATCCTGGTTAATACGGTGAAACCCCGTCTCTACTAAAAAGTACAAAAAACTAGCCGGGTGAGGTGGCGGGCGCCTGTAGTCCCAGCTACTCGGGAGGCTGAGGCAGGAGAATGGCGTGAACCCGGGAGGCGGAGCTTGCAGTGAGCTGAGATCTGGCCACTGCACTCCAGCCTGGGCGACAGAGCGAGACTCCGTCTCAAAAAAAAACAAAAAAACCCCAAAAATGCTCAATAAATATACAAGAGAAGATTCCATAAGACGATAAAAGAGGCACTAGAAACATAGAAAAATCTACCATAAAGACATGTATTAAAAATGCAAACCCGGAGGCCAAGGCAGACAGATCAATTGAGCCCTGCAGTTCGAGACCAGCCTGGGCAACATAAGGAGACCCCGTCTCCATAACAAAGTAAAACACTAGGCATGGTGGCACAAGACAAATGGTATTGAAACACCTGAATTAGCAAATGCAAAGAAATGAATTAGACACAGAACTGCACCTTTTACAAAACTACTTCCTATTGAATCGTTTACTTAAATGGAAAATGCAAACCTCACAACTTCTAGAACATAACACTTGTGAAAACCAAGACAACCTTGGATTTGCCAATAAGGTTTCACACACAACACAAAAAGCATGATATGTGAATGAGAAAATCGATAAATTGGACTTCATTCAAAACAAAAACGTTTTGGAAAAGACTCTGTTAACAGAATAAAAAGACAGGCGGCCGACTGGGACAAAATATTTGCAGAACACCTATCTGATCAAGAACTGGTATCCAAAAGGTATGAAGGACTCCTAAAATTCAATAAGAAAAAAACCAACCAATCAAAAAATAAGCAAAAGGTCACGGGCGGTGGCTCACACCTGTAATCGCAGCACTTTAGGAGGCAGAGATGGATAGATCACCGAGGTCAGGAGTTTGAGACCAACCTGACTAACATGGTGAAACCCTTTCTCTAGTAAAAATACAAAAATTAGCTAGGGGCAGGGTGCAGTGGCCTATAATCCCAGCACTTAGGGAGGCCGAGATGGGTGGATCACAAGGTCAGGAGATTGAGACCGTCCTGGCTAACACAATGAAACCCCGTCTCTACTAAAAGTACAAAAAAAAATTAGCCGGGTATAGTGGCGGGCACCTGTAGTCCCAGCTACTCAGGAGGCTGAAGCAGGAGACTGGCGTGAACTCGGGAGGCAGAGCTTGCAGTGAGCTGAGATCACACCACTGCCCTGTAGGCTGGGTGAGAGAGCCAGACTGTCTCAAAAAAAAAAAAAAAAAAAAATTAGCTGGGCCTGGTGGTATGAGCCTGTAATCCCAGCTACTCAGGAGGCTAAGGCAGGAGAATCGCTGGGACCTGGGAGACAGAGGTTGCAGTGAGCTGAGATCGCGCCACTGTTCTCCAGACTGGGTGACAGAGCCAGACTCAGTCTCAAAAAAAAAAAAAAAAAGCCCAATCTTTCCAAATATATCTCCCCCTAAAGAATGTAATTATGGCAAACAAACACATGACAGGATGCTCTACATTACACGTTATTAAAGAGCAAATGAAAACAGGCCAGGTGCAATGGCTCAGGCCTGTAATCCAGCCCTTTGGGGAGCTGAGGTGGCTGGATCACCTGAGGTCAAAAGTTTGAGACCAGCCTGGCCAACATGGTGAAACCGTCTCTACTAATAATACAAACAGCGGCCATGTGTGGCGGCGTACACCTGCAATCCCAGCTACTCAGGAGTCTGAGTCAGGAGAATCACTTAAACCCGGGAGGCAAAGGCTGCAGTGAGCTGAGATGGCGCCATTGTACTCCGGTCTGGGCAACGTGAATGAAACTCCGTCTCCAAAGGAATAAAAAAAAAAAGAAAGGAACAAAACAACGAAGCACCAACAAATACCTGGTGGAGTAGCTAAAATCCAAAACACTGACATTTCCTAATGCCAATGACAGTGAACTCTCCTTCACTATGGATGTGAATGGAAAATTCTACAGCCGATTTGGAAGACAGTCTGCGGAGCTCTGAAGAAAATAAGCGTGGTCTTACTGATTCAGTAGTCTCACTCCTACATATTGACCTAAATGAACTGAAAACTGATGTCCACACAAAAGTCCTCCCACAAATGCTTTTAGCAGCCTTACTCATGACTGCCAAAAACTAGAACCAAACAAGGTGATTCTTTTTTTTTTTTTTTGAGACGGAGTCTCACGCTGTTGCCCAGGCTGGAGTGCAGTGGCGCGATCTCGGCTCACTGCAAGCTCCGCCTCCCGGGTTCCCGCCATTCCTTAAAAAAAAAAAAAAAAAAAAAAAAGACAAGGTCTCACA